AAATATCCCTAGGTGAGGATTAACAAAAAAAATATCCTCGGGTGAAGATTAACAAAAAAAATATCCTCAGGCGAGGATTAACTAAAATAAAATTCTGATTGGTTCCTCCATTGCTCACATCCTGCCAGGGTTACCCAGCATAGAAGCCGAGGCCCTACCTAACCTAGCCTCATTTTACCGTTCTGGCCCCACTTTCTGTAACTGCTGTTGCTCACTCCATCCCGGCAGACTGGCCTCCATGCTGCTCCTCAGATACGGCTCCACGGCTGCCCCAGGGCCTCTGCACCTGCTGTTTTCTCCCCTGATGGCGCTTCCATTAGATACTGGTACCTGCACGTTTGTCTTATCTCCTTAAGTCTTGGCCCAGATGTCACTTTTCCAGGGAGGCCTTCCCTGGCAATCCCATGTAACCCTGCAGCCCTTGGCCCCCTGAGCTCTGTACTGCCCTCCTCTGGTTCATTACCTCTCTCACACACAATAGTTTACTTGTTTTTTAAAAAAATACATTTGTATTGATTTCAGAGAGGAAGGGAGAGGACCAGAGAGATAGAAACATCAATGATGAGAGAGAATCATCAATTGGCTGCCTCCTGCACACCCCACACTGGTGACAGAGGTGAGATAGTGGCTACCTCTCGAGGTGGGGTGGGTGTCGGCTGGGAGGGGCAGGAGGGAACTCCCTGGGGTGATATGATGGCGTCTGTACATAAGTAAACATATGCCCCGACCGGGAATTAAATTGAACTGTGACCTCCTGGTTCATAGGTGGACACTCAACCAGTGAGCCACGCCAGCCGGGCAATAGTTTACTTCTTGATTTTGTTTTTGTCTGTCTCCCCCACCTGGCATATAAGCGCCACAAGGGCAGGGATCTTTGTCTGTGTTCCCCCCTTTCACTGCTGCCTGACATACAGTGGGCATTCACAGACACGTGTGTTGAAGAAAGTAATAAGGGACACATGGCTGAAAAATGAATCAAGTGATTCTCACCTTCAGGGACAGAAATGTCACTGAAGACACTAAGGAGGTGTCCCTTTTCCACCAAAAGGAACAGTCCAGAAGCTCCTGGTAACTGAGTAAGGGTGGCCGTGGGACGGGGCCTTGGGCCTGCCCTACTTACAAGGGCCATACCTGGGCCCCATGAGGGCACAGGCCGACTTCTCACCACTGCATCCCTGTGCCCGGACAGTGCCTGGCACTGTATGTGTGCAGAATAAATTAGTGCAGTGGTCGGCAAACCGCGGCTCGGCAAACCACGGCTCGCAAGCCACATGCGGCCTTTGGCCCCTTCAGTATGGCTCTTCCACAAAATACCGACTTCTGCGCATGGGCCACGAAGTTTCCATCGCACTGCACATGCACGCCCGCACGTGGTATTTTGTGGAAGAGCCACACTGAAGGGGCCAAAGAGCCGCATGTGGCTCGCGAGCCGCGGTTTGCCGACCACGGGATTAGTGGAATGAACACATGAATAAATGAGTCTTTCTTGAAGATAGTTTGGCAATTTCTTTTTTTTTAAATTTTTTATTGATTTCAGAGAAGAAGGAAGAGGAAGAGAAGGAGAGAAACATCAATGATGAGAGAGAATCATTGATCGGCTGCTTCCTGCACACCCCACACTGGGGATCGAGCCTGCAACCCTGACCGGGAATCGAACTGTGACCTCCTGGTTCATAGGTTGACACTCAACCACGGACCAATCACTGCGACCGGGTTTAAATGGTCTTTTCTTTCTCTTGTAAATTATTTGCAGTTTTTGCAATGAACATGTATTATGTTTCCGGTCATAAACAATACCTGTTTTATAGATGTTCTGTTCCGTGAAAGAAGCCAGAGCCAGAGAGAACAGACTGCGTGTTTCCACTTATATGAAGTTCACGACCAGCAAAGCTAATCTCTGTCGACAGAGGTGAGATAGTGGCTACCTCTCGAGGTGGGGTGGGTGTCGGCTGGGAGGGGTAGGAGGGAACTCCCTGGGGTGATACGATGGCGTCTGTACATATGTAAACATGCATTGCACTGAATGCTTAAGATTTGTGCACTTTTGGCGAATTAAAACTCAACTCGATACTGCAAAATAAAGGTAAGCAAGGCACCGTGAGTCAGACTTGAAACAGCCCAGGCAGAGGGTTTCAGTGAAGACCCGGACTTACGGCTGCTGCCAGGGGTGCTTGGCATCAGGAGCCCCTGGTGGGACCGGAGAGGCCAGCGTTGCTGGTGACAAGGGTAGGATGACGATTGGAAACAGGACCAGCGCGTCTCAGGGCAGATTACGGAGGCTCAACCAGCCTGGCTCGCTCAGGGCCAGGACAATGCAATAGACATGCGCTCGGGACAAAAACCAAGAGGCCCGTGTGACCGAAATAACCGAATCTCATGCCGCCTGTCAGGGAGACGGGGAACAGGCCTCCGCTCCGCAGACAATGCCAGGAATCCGGGTCAGAGGGGAGCATTGTGGCGGCGGCGCGGGCCTGGACTTCCTGCGGGCGGCGGGCTCGAGGCCCCGGGTTATCGTGAGAGGGACCAGGCCCCTGTGGGTGCCGGCAGGAAGGAGCCCGGTCCTGCAGAGCCTCCTTCCATCCAGAAATAACATCCCTCTGACAGCCGAGTTTATCGGCCGATGACAGATTTGTTCTGAACAATGACAGCCGTCCTGGCAGCTCACGCAGCCAACGCGGTGTCGGCGGCCACTGCTGTCCACTCCGCTGCTCTGGGTGGGCGCCCTCAGAGGACCTGATCCATAAGCCCCTCCAGGGCAGGGTCCCCTGTGCAATTTCACTCCCTTGCACCCAACAATAGACACTGCTTCACCGACGGTGGCTGTCCCCGTCACCCTCCCCTCCGTCCTCACAGCAGCCTCCTGGGACAGGTCCTGCGGTTCCCACTTCGCAGAGGGGGAAGCCGAGGCCAGGCGGGTGAGGTGGTGCGGGGGGCTTCCCCGTCTCACAGACGCTAATCGCAGCCCCCAAGCTCCCTCTCCTGCCTCGGAGGAGGAGGAGGACCCAGGACCACAGAATTTTGGGATTTTTTTCTCTCAAAGGAAATAATTTTAAATAAAAAAACATTTTAAAATTGATTTTAGAGATAAGGGGGAGAGAGAGAGAGAGAGAGAGAGAGAAAGAGAGAGAGAGAGAGATGATTTGTTGTCCCACTTACTTACGCACTCATTGGTTGATCTTGCATGTGCCCTGACCAGGGCTCGAACCTGCAACCTCCCTGCGTGGGGGCGACACACTGGAGCCACCTGAGCTCGCAGGGCCTCATTTCTTTCATTTCAAGCCCTGCAGACCTGTCCTTTCTCTGAGGACCTGTCCTTGCTTCTATGTCCCCACTGATAACGAACATAAATGCAAATAAGAGCAACAGTGACACTGCCCAGCAGCTGAGCCCTGGTGAAGTGTGGCAGCCCGTTCTCTCGGCGCTGCTGGGATACCCTAGACCAGTGGTTCTCAACCTTCTGGCCCTTTAAATACAGTTCCTCATGTGGTGACTCCCAACCATAAAATTATTTTCATTGCTACTTCATAACTGTAATGTTGCTACTGTTATGAATCGTCATGTAAATATCTGATATGCAGGATGGTCTTAGGCGACCCTGTGAAAGGGTCGTTCGACCACCAAAGGGGTCGTGACCCACAGGTTGAGAACCGCTGTGCCTAGACGCAGCCTGCTAGGAGGCAGCCTGGCGAGACACGCCCAGTGAGGGTGCTCTCCGACCTGACATGTCACTTCCGGACACTCTGGCCGGTGTGCCGCCGGGAAGGCCAAGTGTGGGCATTCGACAGAGAAGCTCGCCCGCCTGCCGCCTCCTCGGCCCTGCAGCAGGGAACGTCCAGGAGGTGGCACAGAGGCTGCAGTGGGCTCACGGCTCCATTCCTGAGCCCCGCTGGGCACTGGGGACGCGTGCAGGACCCTGGCTCTGGGTGTCCCCAAACCCCTGCTCTGGGAAGATCAGCCCCCTCCCCCTTGTGGTCTTCAGGGTCTGGGCTGGGCCTTAGCAGGAGGAGGGAGGGAGGGCAGATTTCCCGGGAACCTGAGATCCGGCCAACAGCACATGCCCGTGTTGCGGGCTGGATCCCCAGTAGGGGGCGTGCAGGAGGCAGTCGATCAATGATTCTCTCTCATCATTGATGTTTCTTTCTCTCTCTCCCTCTCCCTTCCTCTCTGAAATCAAGAAATAAATATATTTTTAAAAATGTATTGATTTTAGAGAGAGAAGAAGCGAGAGGAACATCAATGTGTTGTTGCACTCATTTCTGCATTCATTGGTTGCTTCTAATATGTGCCTTGACCGGGATCGAACCCGCAACCTTGACGAATGGGGAGGATGCTCTAATCAATTGAGCTGCCTGGTCATGGCTGAGTATGCCATTTATGGATTACTATGTGCAGCATTCAACTTGTCAGAGTATCCTTATAACAAAGTCTACCAGGTAGGCCCTACGCTGTCCCAATTTTGCGGATACAGAAGCTGAGCAGCAAAGGGGTAAGAGCGGACTGGCCTCAGTGCCACAACCATCACGCCGCTCTGCCTCGCGCTGTCAGGCTCGGTCCCGCGCCCACACCTTTCTCAGCCTCATTTCTGGGCCCTGAAGGTTAAAAGGCTCGGGGTGGGGAAGATGGGGGGGGTAGGTGGAG